TTCCTCTCCTCGTTGTTGTTGTTGGAGAGAGTACACGGATAGGGAATGCTTCATCATCACTGGCCATCAGAGAAATGCAAATCAAACACCAACAATGGAGGCTACCATTCACACCAGTTAGAATAGGCATCATTAAAATCGGAGAAACAACAGGTGGCTGGGGAAGATGGTTGAGAACAGGAACATTTTACACGTGTGGTGGGACTGCTAACACTAGTTCACCATTGTTGGAAAACAGTATTGGTGATTTCCTCACAGGATTCTAGAAACTAGAAATACCCATTTACCGCCATTCCCATTACTGGTCTGAATACCCAGAAGCGAATTACAAATCATGGCTGGCTACAAAGACACATGCACGTATGTTTAGTTGCGGCACTATGTCACAAAGCAAAGACTTGGAATCAACCCAAATGTCCCATTCAGTCGACAGACTGATTAATGAAATTGGCCTTCCCTTTGTGGGTAACCCGAGCTTTCTCTCTGGCTGCCCTTAACATTTTTTCCTTCATTTCAACTTTGGTGAATCTGACAATTATGCGTCTTGGAGTTGCTCTTCTCGAAGAGTATCTTTGTGGCGTTCTCTGTATTTCCTGAATTTGAATGTTGGCCTGCCTTACTAGATTGGGGAAGTTCTGGATGATATCCTGCAGAGTGTTTTCCAACTTGGTTCCCTTTTCCCCGTCACTTTCAGGCACACCAATCAGATGTAGATTTGGTGTTTTCACATAATCCCATATTCCTTGAAGGCTTTGTTCATTTCTTTTTATTCTTTTTTCTCTAGACTTCTTGCTTCATTTCATTCATTTGATCTTCAATCACTGATACTCTTTCTTCCAGTTGATTGAGTTGGTTACTGAAGCTTATGCATTTGTCATGTAGTACTCGTGTCATGGTTTTCATCTCTATCAGTTCTTTTAAGGTCTTCTCTGCATTGATTATTCTAGTTATCCATTCATCCATTCTTTTTTCAAGGTTTTTAGTTTCTTTGTGCTGGTTACATAGTTTCCCCTTTAGCTCTGAGAAGTTTGATCGACTGAAGCCTTCTTCTCTCAACTTGTCAAAGTCATTCTCCGTCCAGCTTTGTTCCGTTGCTAGTGATGAGC